TTATTATCCAGTGCAGTATGCTTTAGTGCAAGATATTCCTTCTTTCCCATTTTCTGGGGGACCCCTATTCTTCCTCACAGATTCACTCCTACTGTGTGAACCCGTGTCTGACATGCCCAGACAGGCACCCATTCCTATTGCTCCAAAAGCACTTTGCCTCTATTGCCCTTATTTTTTACCTCACTATATTATAATGACTGTTCTATATGTCTGCTTAGCCCTTTACTGAAATGTAAGCTCCCAAGAATAGTTATAAACTTTTTCACCTTTGTATCTGTCTAGCATAATGCATGTACATATTAGGTGTCCAACAAATATTTAGTGAATTAATGAATGAACTTTTCTGAAAACCTTAAAAGAGCTAATCATTCTGAAAAAGAATATGTAAACTTAGATTTCAACTGGTTTCTGTATTATTGATATTACTCCTTAGGGTTAAAACTATCTTTTGAGGTACCCTAGGTAAAATATGCATGTAACCTAGACAGGAAAGGAAAGCACATTAGATCTGTCAGAGATTTGTTTAGTAGAGGAGCTGGCTCTTCTGTTTTGGCCTTGTGGATAGCACCGATGAAGAGGAGAATAGGAAAAGCAGAAAATATCTGGATTTTGTGGCACTGCTCAAGGCGGGTAGCTCCAACTACAGCAAAGGATGGATAAAGGGTCAATAGGATTCAGGGTCCAAAGGACAGATCTGGGAATGTCAAAGACATTTTTTGGCCAAGTTAAAATTTTTGCGAAAACCAATGCTACTCAGAACAACTGAATGGAACAGAAGACCCAGTCTTCTTACCTAAAAGGAAGGTGTGAGAAACCTTATTTTCAGATAATTGTGTGTAATACAGGTAGACAAGAGGTCTATGAAGTCTATGAAGGAGAACAGCGTCCAAATTAGCATACTGTGGCCAGCACCTGGCCCATTCCCTTGTCAGTTGCTCAACTGAATCTTGATGCCCTAAACTGTCAGGCAATACAGGATGGCAGTCTTTTACCAGCTTAGTCTGTGGCAGGAACATATCTAGTCTAGGATATCTCAATTTACATCAGTCATTGATTCAATAAACATAAAAGTCAAATATAAGATAAAAAAAATAAGAACCTTCTGCCTATGATCAAAGCCTCTGAAAATAACACACTTTCATTTTCTTTGTAATTGAATGCAGCAGGTCAGGAAGAAGCTTTCATAAAAACAAGCACTTCTCCCTAGTGGGGGACATGCAGGTGGGCTCAGGAGACTACCTTTCTCACACAATGTGACAGTTAAATACACAGCTTAAGCTCATTTCATGCCCCATCCCACTGCCCCGTCCCATCTTGGGCACAGTTAGGAACAAAGGGTAGTGTAGGTATAAACATGGCTGCAAATGTTAGGAATAACATGCAATTAAGAATTACTAAAATGAACATCTCAGGTACCAAGTGTACTGTGCCAAGGACCAAAGAAGTCACTCCTGGATAACAATAACATTTTTTGTGTGTGTTTACTATGTGTTAGACTCTGTACTCAATGCTTTATAATAATGCATTATCCCTAATCCTCAACAAAGCCTGTGAAAAAGTTATTGACATTTATCTGTTAAATAACAGATAAAATGGAAACTCAGAAAGGTTAATTAATCAGCCAAGATTTTTCTTTCCCAACTGGCCCACAGGAGATCTACTCAGTCAGTGTTTGAGCTCTGCTACTTAGCACTTTCCCATGCCCCCACTTTTGGATGCCCATCTACCTCTTGCTTTATTTTTGCCATGTGCCATTGTCTATATATAGTCTGGCTGGGTGGCTCAAATGAGCACACTGATTAATAAAGCCCAATCACTATTAGTGAGTACTCTATGCTCTATCAGGCACATTGTGAGATGGTAGAAAGGCAAAGCTGCACTCCCATTCAAATCTGTCCTACTCTGACTCCAGAAAGCTAGGTGACAGAATGTGGAGAGCTCCTGGCAAACTCATTCATCAAAACTGATGAAAACAACTCAGAAGGGGCGCCTGGGTCAGCACTGATGAAAACAACTCAGAAGGGGCACCCAGCCAGTTAAGCATCCACCTTCGGCTCAGGTCATGATCTCGGGGCCCTGGGATCAAGCCCCACCCTGTGTCGGGCTCCCCATTCAGCGGGGAGTCTGCTTCTCCCTCTGACCCACCCTGCTCTCTGTCAAATAAATAAATAAAATCTTTAACAAGATTATTTAAAAAACCCAACTCAGAATACAGAATCTTTATCATCATCACCTGTTTCCCTGACCTGCTCATTCAAATACTGTCTCTCTGTAACTGCTGCTCCTGCCCAGTTCATCCTCTTCCTGTTCCCCTGGCCTCGCTGTCAGCCAGTTTGTCATCCTTTATGCTCTCCCGTCATACTTTATGCACAACCACCATAATTCCAAGCCCCAACTCTCACCTCCCCTTATACAGGAGAAAATGGAACCTGAGACTCCATCACCTATATATACATAATGTGAGGAGAAAATGTGTTTTGTACGTATGTATGTCTATACTAAGAGGACAATTTAATTCTGCAGGACTATAACAACTGGAGTACAGAAAAAGGCGGGGCTGGGAGGTGCCGAAGACTTAAGGGCTGCTACATACTTCCTGACTGCTGGAAGAGCAGTCCGATCTTGCTGTGCATGGCATTTAAATATTACTCATCCACAACTACGACGTGCATTCAAAGTGAAAGTAGTGTATTCACAGAGGCACTATCCATCCAGAGACATGTGGAATGGATTTTCTTTTCCATAATCATTAAAGATTTTAAGAAACCGCTGGTTTCTAAAAAAAAAAAAAAATGAATTAAAAAGAATGAGAACTGAGTTAATTTTGCTTACCTGTGAACCCTACAGGAAGTAAGTTATGGATAGTCTACCCCCCAGATTTAACTTCACTCTTAGGGAAAACAATAAAATTTTATACCCTCCACTACAGTTTGCTAGTTTTAGAAATAACTCCTATGTAATTTTATAGGTAAGTAAAATAACTCCAAATCCTAGGTATTTTTCTTGGACTTGAGACTATTGAAGACTTTGAGAAAGTTATTAAATGTCTCACAAGTCTGAAAAGGAAAATAAAAATTTTATAGAATATACTGTGAGAGTCTCAAATTACGGAAATTAAAGAACAATGTTATTTTAGCAACCTTAAAGAACCATAACATTTTCTGCAAAAGATAATGGATACAGTATTCAGATTTACTTTCAAAATTAATACTGAACAATCAAGCTAGCAAGACTTCCATGGAAAAATTATTTTCTAATGTTTCTGGAAAACTTTCGGAACTCCCCCTTTCTGTCTTGGAAACACCACTTCCAGTTAGGGTTTGCTACTTCACAAGCAAACTGTTTCTCCAGGTGAGTCTCAATTCCAAAGTACTGCGTTGGGCTTTCCCCTCCATCTATCACTTTGCTCAGAGCCTTCTGTAAGAACAGGAAGAGGAGATAATGTAGAATAAAGCAAGCAGTGCAGAGAACCTAGAAATTTTTTCATTCTAAGGATGAGTGAGACAAAACCGTGAAAGCAGCAAAGTATTACTGGTTTGGTGGAGGGAGAAAGGGCACCCAAACAAAGGAAGATCCTAGCTCGAAGTATGCCAGAGACTGTGGAAAGTAAGACCTCTGAAAGGCAAGAGAAGGAGTGATTTCTACTTCAAAAATTGGCAAAGTCAAGAAGTCTGACTCCTTAAAAAAAAAAAAAAGTTCAATTTCCTAAACATTCTAAAACACCAATAAGCTAACCATCCCTATCTTCCATGAACTAAAACTAGACAACACTAAGGTGGGTAGACATAAAGACAGAAATAGGTTATATGTAACCTATATGAATTAGCCAATAATGAACAATGCCTGTTAGAATCATAGGAATAAGTGATTTGGATGGCAAAAGGGGGATGGTGGTAGGATGTTAAGATAGATTAACAAGAAGGAATTCACTACTTTTCTTAGAGACGGCTTTCTGGAGGAGGTTAGATTATGGACGAATAGCAACAGGAGCTTAGCAGAGTGTTCCAACCAACCACAGGAAAATAGCTCAGAGGGGGGAGTGAACTGATGATATGAATGGGGCATTGAGTAAGGGAGCCTGAGAGAATAAAGGGGAACCTTCAAGGGGAATAGGGCTGGTTCAGGGTGCCCTAATTAAGGTCTCCAAACTGGAGAAAGTCTGGGAGGGGGGCAGGGAAGGCAAAAAGAAAAAGCAGGGTACTTTCTTCACTTATTTCGCTAGGCAAATCAAGGACTAGGGTTTGCACTACCTGGAAAAGCTGACAAACAGGCTTGCCCTGGGACTGAAAAATTTCCAGAGGAGAGGGCCCTTTCTGGAAAGACGCAGCCCCCCGATCCCTGAATTCCTGGTTGAGTACCATGGGGTAATAACTGGAGGCGCAGGGATGTCTAAGGCAGGTGTTTCCTGGGTGTTGGCGTGGCTACCAGGCTGAGGTTCAGCGGCGGGTCTAGCACTTAGCGACAAGCAGGCGGCGGCGGCGGCGGCGGCGGCGGCGGCGGCAGCTGCGCGTGCAAACCACAGGACTTACCTTACTGTCATCCATCTCGGCGGACAGGCCGGCCTGGCCAGGCGCTCCCTCCCCCTGCCCTCCCCCGGCTCAGCCGGCCTGGCCCGGCCCGGCCCCCGCCCCGGGGGAAGAAGGGGATATGGTTCTGACTGTCTCCTCCTCTCGCCTAACAGTTCGCTTCCCTGATGCCACAGTCACGGGGACGAGGGACCAGTTCAGGAATGACAGAGCGGACCCTGGAGGCGGCCCAAAACGCCTCCTTTCGCCGCCGCCGCCTCCTCCTCCCCCTCCATGACAGTCTCGGGGTGTGTTTACAGACGCCCTGGAGAGCGGCCCGGACGGGAGGGTGGGTGGGAGCACTGCTCGCGGAATGGCCTCTTCGGTTGCCGTAGTCGGCAGCATTCTGGGGATTGTAGTTTTCCTTAACGCACTCTCTGCAGGGCTGACTAGGAAGAAAACTACAATGTCCACATACCCTCAGCCAGGCGTCGGTTTTCCTCCTGCCGGCGAGCGCTGCGGGGGAGGAGCCAGCCAGGAGCCCAGACTACGTTTCCAAAAGTGCGCTGCTTTGGACATCCAGCGCTCTGGGCACCGGTGGGGCGAGTTTGGGGCCCCCGCAGAAGCCCGCCCCAAGGAGGAGCCCTGGGGGCAGGCCCTCCTCCGGGACACCGAGGAAACACTGAAGGTTCTTTATTAAAAAAAAAAAGAAAAGAAAGAATGTACAGTGCTGCAGCTGTTTTGAGAAACAATTGGGCCGTTCTCACAATATTAGTTACCATATAGCCAACAATTCCAAAGAAATGAAAACACTCCTTCACATGAAAACTTGTACAGCGATGTTCTATCCTAGAAGCATTATTCATAATAGTCAAAAAGTGGAAACCACCCAAATGTCCATCAGTGGATGAATGGATCAGATAAACGTGGTACGTATGTGCAGAGGAATGTTATTAGACCATATAAAGGAATGAAGTACTGATACATGCTACAGTGTGGGTGAGCATTGAAACATGCAAAATGAAGAGCCTCATTTTGTAGATTCCATTTATAATGGAAGATCCAGAATAGGTAATTGAAAGAAACAAAGAGCAAGTGGATGACAAGGGCGAGGATTGGGAACAGCAGGGAGGCAGGTATGGGGAGGGATTGTTCATGGGCACTGGTTTTCTTTTTTGAGGTACTGAAAATGTTCAAAACTTAAGGGCTCCTGGCTAGCTTAGTGGGTAGAGTATGGGACTCTTGATCCCGAGTTATGAGTGAAAGATGTATTTGCAGCCAAATACAGTGAATATTAACTAAAAATTTTAAAAGAAATAGTGATCCTCAGAGCACCTGGGTGGCTCAGGTGGTTAAGCATCTGCCTTTGGACTGGGTCATGGTCCCAGAGTCCTGGGATCAAGTCCCACGTCGGGCTCCCCACTCAGCAGGGAATCTACTCCCTCTACCCTTCCTCCTGCTCGTAATCTCTCTCTCTCTACCTCTGTCTCTCTCTGGTAAATAAATTAAAAAAAAAAAAACTTAAAAAATGAAAAAAAAGTGAATTTTACAATATGTGACTTATACCAATAAAACCATTAAAAAATAACTAAGATGGCCTTTGCATATCGCTGATTTAATAAAGTCAGTGGTCTTTTGTTGTTTCAGCCTAAATTAAACCATAGCATTTGATAAAGATTTATTAATGTTCCTAATGTTATTCTGGAGAACTCTTTGACCCAGTTCTTTTCAAAGACTCCTAAAACCCTTCCAAAATTCAATTGAGGTAGAGTTGCCAGATTTAGCGATAAATATACAGAACACTCACAGTTGGTTTTAGGATAACCAAGTAACTTGTTAGTATAAGTATGTCCCATACAATATTTAAGACACACTTTTACTACAAAGAAAGCATTTGTTGTTTATCTGAAAATCAAATTTAACTGGGTACCTTCTATTTTATCTTTTAACTCCAAATTGAGGAAGGGTAATAGAGGCATACCTTGTTTTACTGTACTTCACTTTATTGTGCTTTTTACAAATGGAAGGTTTGTGGCAACCCTGCCTTGAGCAAGTCTATTAACGCCATTTTCCCAACATCATTTTCTCCCTTTGTGTCTCTGTGTCACATTTTAGTAATTCTCACAAAAATTTTTTTTTAAGATTTATTTGAGAGAGAAAGAAAGCAGGGAGGAGGGGCAGAGGGAGAAGGAGAGGGAGAGAAGCAGGACCCCCCCCCCCCCAGCTGAGCACAGTGGAGCTTGCTCTCATGACCCTGGGATCATAACCTGAGCCGAAACTAAGAGGCAGTTGCTTAAGTGACTGAGTCACTGAGGTGCCCCAATTCTCACAATATTTCAAACTTTTTCATTGTTATTACGTTTGGTACAGTGATCTGTGATTAGTGATTATGACTTGCTGAAAACTCAGATGATGGTTAGCATTTTTTAGCAATAAAGATTTTTTCATTAAGGTATGTACACTTTTTTTTTTAAGAAATAATGCTATTGCACACTTAATAGACTGCAGTATAGTGTAAACCTAACTTTTACATGCACTTGGAAACCAAAAACTTCATTTGACTTGCTTTATTGTAGTGGCCTGAGAACTGAACCCACAATATCTCTGAGGCATGCCTGTAACAGGAAAGTTGAGTCATCTCTGACTGATCTATATAATGCTCCAGAGGAACTAAAGCAGGTCACTTCCTCCAAGTAAAAGCCATGTAGCCAGGCCTTGCAGCTGGTAATGGGTCTGGCATGCTGGGGTTTCAGCAGTTGGGCCCACCCAGGTGTGCACCTGTAGCCCCCAAACTGCATTCATGGAGATCTCAGAGACACCTAGCCACATCCTTTCTGATGATCAGGGGTGCAAAAGCGTGTGCTCCTGGGAGGAGCTCTCTTTCTCCACCTCCCCTAAAGCCCCTTTAGTTCTACACCTCCAGGGGCTGCTTTCCACCCCTTTCTAGCTTCCTTCTATTGTGCCCAGCCTGGCCTCAGTCCTGCTTCCCTAGCTATGCCCTGGTCGCTAAGTCCTCTTCTTTGAGGTACAACTGCTTTCCCCCTGGGTTAATCCTCTACCTCTCTCCCTTCCTGCATCCTAGCCGACAAAAGTGCCCCGAGTCCTCTGCAATGGCATTTACCCATTTCGTCCTTCCACAGAGGCTGTGTGTGAGCTGTTTGCAGACTCAATTACCAGCCCCTCAGGAAGGAGAACTAAGACCTTTTGAACTATGAAGTGGAAATCTAAAAACATGCAGGAAAGTAGGTACACTGGTTTCAGGAGAGTGGTTTTGTCAAGGGAGGTTGGGGGCAGGCTTGGGGTGAGAAGTGGTTAGTTGTATATTTAACTTTTAAAGATATGAAGCAAATATGTTAACTCTGGAAGTGGAGTTGTATTGTTCTCTTTGTATTTCTGTACATTTGAAACATTACACAATTAAAATAGAAATTTATTTCTTAATTTTTTTTAAGGATTTTATTTGAGAGAGAGAGAGCACGGAGAGTGAGAGCAAGAGTGAGAGAGAGAGGCAGAGACAGAGAGAGAGCATGAGCAGGGGGAGGGGCAGAGAGAGAAGCAGTCTCCCCACCGAGCTGGATCCCAGGATGTGAGAATCCTGACCTGAGCCAAGGCAGACTGAGCCACCCAGGCATCCCTTAAAATAGAAATTTAAATATAAGAATTATAAACATGCTCACTTTAAAAACTGGAACTACTTTAAATATTTTTTAGATTTAATTTATAAAAATAAACTTGGGCGTCTGGGTGGCTCAGTTGGTTAAGCGACTGCCTTCGGCTCAGGTCATGATTCTGGAGTCCCGGGATCGAGTCCAGCATCGGGCTCCCTGCTCAGTGGGGAGTCTGCTTCTCCCTCTGACCTTCCCCCCTCTCCTGTACTCTCTCTCTCAAAGAAATAAGTAAAATCTTAAAAAAAGAGTTGCTTTATAAAAAAAAAATAATAAACCTTAATCACATCATAAAATAGTACTTTGTAAAGGACAGAAAATCTTATGAAGAAGTATTGTGTAGTCATATGTTAAAAATTTGCTGAGAAGTACCCTGTACTTATAGAAACTATAGTGGTGAGGAAGAACAAGAGAATTAGTTTCTATAAGTATAAATCCTCAAGGACTTTATAATCCAAGAAGAAGAAATTCACACATACAGGAGACTGAACAATCACTAAACAAGGCATCTGGTGAAAACAATATAGACTGAACTTAATACCCACGTGCTAGATTGTTCAGCGTGGGTAGAGAGCACCAAGCATTAGACTGATCCCTGGAAAGGTAAAGTGAACACAGCAAATGTACTTTTTTATTTCTAAAGGAGTGGGCGGAAGTTTAGAAGAAGAATAGTTTCTCAGGGTGCTGAGCCTGCTTTATATTCATGATCTTCAATCTTTTCTTCCTTCTCAAAAGGAAACTCCTAGGCATGCAAGTCCTTCTAAAAATGCATGTAATTTTCTCCCCCCTTCCCTCCCCACTTCTCCCTCCCCAACACACACACAAACACGTTTCATAGACTCCCAGACACCCCACGTAGAGGCACTGTTGGCCTAGGATGCATCAAGCCTCTGCTCCCGCCGAGGAGTTTCTTGTAGTGAATTCCTAAGCAGCATGGCACACACCCACTCCCACTAGGCCTGCATGCCTTCCATGCCCTCATCTCTCTCTCCTGTTCCCCTTACCACTAGGGCTGAAAGAGCACAGGTGTCTAAACAGAGCCAAGATGATCATGTTACTCCCTGGGCCACATGGGTCCGCTTGGCACATATCCCCTGGGGAACATCAGAGAGAAAGGAAGCTCATTAAAATAACTTGTTAGGCTCCAGCTGGCTTCCCACTATGTTTGACACACGAGTCTAAGAATTTAAAAATTATCCAGCCCTTTCCAAACTTTCCTTGGAAATGAAAATCATTTCCCTTAGTCCTGGCATGGAGATTTTGGTTAGACCCATCTCCGAACTCAAAATAGCCATAATTAAAAACAAAGCCTACCAAGAAAGAAAACAAAGGTGGCCATGAAATCTACTGTGGTAACTTCTGACCCACCCTAACACACACCATACGTTTGGGGAAGAAGGTATCCCAGAGTCAGCCCAGGAGTGACCCATCGTGACTTCTCTGTCCCTGTCTTGTCTTTTCAGAGAGTTGATCATCTGCGGTCAAGTGATAAAGATTTTAAAACGCAGCATGGTCGTGCAGTGAATTTGTGGGTAGTCTAAATTATGACACACAGGCTAAGAGAGGACAGGAGGATAGCTATTCAAAGGGAAAAACAAACCACTGATTGAAGAGAGGTAGGGGGTGGCATGCGATTAAGTGAAGAAGGCAAGGGAACAAAAAATTAACCTTATTCTAGAAACCACAAACAAGGGGAACAGTACAATATTCTACATTCAGGAATGTCATGGCTACGTTGATATGTAAATCTGGCACTGGAACAACAGAGTATTATTGCTGCTGATATGGTAATCCGCAGAGGTACAGAGAAAAAGTGGGCGGGTCATGTGAAATTCATGAAATGCTTGAGGTGAACTCACTGCTCAAGTATTAGTCATGTTTTGTTTTGTGTGAGGTTTTTTTTTCCCCCCAATTTATTTTATAGATAAGTATTCCTCTGTACTTTTTGTTTCTGAAAAGTTTAGCTTATTTTCATGAGGCTATCAGATATTCCATTGCAGAAGTTTGTTTCTGTTCTTCAGGCATTTTGCAAAATGCCTCCCCTCCTTTGGCCTACACGGACAAATATGCCTGCATTTGCATACAGCACAGTACCTATTGACTCTCTGCATTGGCTAGAAAGCTCAGGGGCAAGAGCCTAAAGGAATATTTTAAGAGTGAGCCCATAATTCAGCCTCCAGCTTGTCAGCAGGAGCAAAATAAATAAATAAGGCCGGGAAGGACTGAAACAAGTCTGTCAAAAAGGAAGGGAAAAAAGCCCTAATCAGCATAAAAATAAGGAAGAGAAAATGAAGCTCACGGAACCAAAACCTTCCATGTTCAAACTTTCCCATACCCCTTCCCCTTCACCAACTTAGAGAACTTCTCTCAAACTCAACAACTTTTCTTAATGTTGTCTTGACCTCCATTTCTACTTAAAATGCTGCAGCTATTCCTAAGCCAAATGTATACCTCACCCAATAGGAAAGAATCAAGTGTGTCCTTATTTGAGGAAATAATAGGGTAATTATTTGGCCAGTAAGCAACTGTTTAAAAGTGGACCACTCTTTGTAAAAGATTATTTGCCAAGCATCACTCTTAGTCATTTACACTCTAGTATGAATGTGCTGCTTTCTTTTCTCTCTTATGTGCTACCTAAAGGTTAGTTTAACATGGGGTTGAGGTGTGGGAGAAAAGAGGAATATATGGATTTGAAGGATAGGTGTTATAAGAGGGGGAGAGATCTGGGTAGGTCTGATTCCTGTGGCGAGGGTTTGACCATTGAAAAAGCAGCAAATGGCTAAGGAGGGTTGGGGTGGGGGGAGATAGGAGAGCCAAAAAGAATGAAGAACCCATCAGGTACCTTCTTTCACAATTCTCCTGAGGGCTTACCCAACACACACACATAAGACAGGCACGTTTTATTCTATTGACTCAGACCTGTAGAAGTTTAATTTACTATGGCACATGTTATGGAGTAAGTGAAAACACTCAGCCTACATTTAAAGCTTAGAAACCTTTTTTAAAAAGCAGCTTTCTTCCATCAAAGTTCACTTTTGAGGTTCTTGTTTCCAGTGTAAGCTTTGGTAAACCTAGAGTGGTTTGCTGAATGGAAATTTGACAGTGCTCTTCTTCAGGATCTTGAGTTTTTAAGGAACAAAAGATGATTCTTGGGTTATCCAGGAGAAAGTGTGGTTTGGGTACTTGGATACTTCACGGGAGAAACAGGGGGGACTTACGTCTTGTTTCTTGGGTTTGTATGTGTGCGTGTGTTTTTAAGATTTTATTTATTTGAGAGAGAGAGGGGGAGAGCATGAGCTGGGGCGGGGGGAAGGGGCAGAGTGAGAGGGAGAAGCAGACTCCCAGCTGAGCAGAGAGCCCCATGTGGGGCTCTATCCCAGGACCTGAGCCAAGGCAGACGCTTAAGTGACTGAGCCACCCAGGCACCCCACCTATTGTTTTATAAATAGCCTTAACTGCTCCAAATTTTGCTTTAATCTTCTCCATTTGTAAGGAAAAAAAAAAAAAAACCCACAACCTAAAATTTATTTTTGGGACCCTGTCAGACCTACTGATGATATTTTCAAAAAGGCACAAACAATATTTATGAGTATGTAAGTGTTAGCAATATTTTGGACATCTGCTTAGGTGCTGTCTATTGCTAATGTAAATACCTATCGCTAATGTAAAATACCTTTGATTCCTTCTTTCTGCTATTATCTTTTAATATTATAGATACTCTGATTTTTCTGCTTGGTATCACATATCTTAATTTATCTTTTGATTCATTTATGTATTTAGGTTAAGAAGTTTTGTAAAGCATATTTTCAATTCCTTTGACTTGAAAGGCTTCTCTCATCTATATAAGAAGACTTCCTATTCCAGGATATAGCTTTAAACCTTTTTTGCTTATACATAGGATTGTTTTCAAAGACATTTAAGTCTGAAGGTGGTTAATGTGAATCTTCTTGGGTCAATATACAATGTTACCTGAATGGTATAGCACCTGATATTTTGTGTGATAACATATAATACCCGTAGTAGTAATATCACTTGACAGTTTCCAAAAATGATTGTGTGAATATTATCTCATAGGAGTGAAAGTATTGCCACATGGAATCCAACCAATCATGCTACCAGTATTTCTGTCACCAACAGCAGTCCTTTGGTAGAATGGCATGGTGGTTCTAGCTAAGGTTATCCTTAAAAGTCAGATAGCATAATTCTGCTGAATAGCCATTTCTGTCTCTGTCATTCATAAATGTGTCCAAATCATTTAAAGATTTTTTTCTGTGCTATATGAAGTAGTCCTTTTAAAATAATGTATTCTAGGGGTGCCTGGGTGGCTCAGTTTGTTAAGCATCTGCCTTCGGCTCAGGTCATGATCGTGGGAGTCTGCTTCACCCTCTGCCCCTCCTCCCACTCAGTTCTCTCAATCTCTCTCTCTCTCTCAAATAAAATGAAATCTTTTAAAAACTAAAAAAATTGAAATAAATAAAATAAAATATGTATTGTAGGGGCACCAGTCTGGCTCAGTCAGAAGAGCATGTGACTCTTGATCTTGTGGTTGTGAATTTGAGCCCCACACTGGATATAGAGATTATTTAAACAAACAAACAAACAAACTTTAAAAGATGTATTCTAAGTTTATCTCAACCAAGTTTCACAGGATACCTTTGATCCTCATATTGTAAACGAGGTCTGTGTTGACTTTACCCTCACTGTTTATGATTTTCACAGATTCACACTGTGCTATTTCTTAGTCTTTACCTCTCCAAGATGAAAGTCTTTCCCCATGCCTGACTTCTGAGCAGCTTCTGACGCCATCACCTCTCCTTCCAGGGGCAAGATATCAGTAACATCCCATGTGTGTAGATGTGTGTGGAGGAACCATAGTTTTGCTTCTTTGTTCGTTCGTGTTTTAATCTGATTGAAATCATTATTCTGTTTTCATTTCTGTTCTGGATTTAGTGCTGCCTGACATATTCTGGGGCCTTCTACTAGAACTTTTGGGACATGTAACCACATAATCGCAGGGATCTATAGGAAATTTGTGTAGGTATATACATATTTTCTATGCAAACAGTAAGCTCTTTGTTCCTTTCATTTTTCTTCCCTTTAAATTAGATCTTTAGACAAGATAGTATTTTCAGAACTGAGAGTTTATACAGCTAGCTATTCTCATTCCTCATTTTAGGAATGTAAAAGTCTTTTTTTTAATATTTTATTTATTTATTTGAGAGAGATGCAGATAGTGAGAGAGAGCAGGAGCGGGGAGGAGAGGGAGAAGCAGGCTCCCCACTGAGCAGGGAGCCTAATGCAGGGCTCAGTCCCAGGACCCTGGGATCATGACCTGAGCCGAAGGCAGACGCTCAACTGACTGAGCCACGAAGGTGCCCCAGGAATGTAGAAGTCTTAAGAGTTTGGTGCTACAGTCTCTCCTGGCACTCCTGGTGCCCAGTAATGAGACTCAAAACACAAAACACCCTCCTAACAGTTTTTACCAGGAGTATATACATGTCTTTGCAAATTTTATAGATTTAATTTACATTTAAGCTATGGCCTGTAGATGGTTTTCTAAACTAGAATAGAAAGTCATTGTGTCTTAAGTGACGCTACCTTCCTCAAATAAGCTTTTTTTTTTTTTTTAAAGATTTTATTTATTTGAGAGAGAGCACAAGCAGGGGGAGCAGCAGAGGGAGAGGGAGAAACAGGTTCCCCACTGAACAGGGAGCCCGACACGGGGCTCGATCCCAGGACCCTGAGATTATGACCCAGCCGAAGGTAGAGAGGCTCAACCGACTTAGCCACCCAGGCACCCCTCAAATAAGCTTCTTGAGTTGCACTGAGGCCAGTTCAAGATGGCCTTGTGGTGGCTGATGCACACCAGGCTCGGGATGGGGCAAGACTCTTGATCTTTTGCTATGGTGTGTTTGGACCTCAGTGGTCAGCCTGGACTCTTACCCTCTTCTCTGCTCTTCGCCCTTTCCCTTTTTTTGTTCCCCACATGGTTCTTGTGCTCTGTTGTTTTTGCCCTTCTGTGTTTGCAGACAGCAGGTCCTGGAAGGGGGTTATCCTTTCCCTAATCCTGTAAGATTTTCTCCAGTTTGTTTTGTCTGGAAAACTTCAGGCTTTCTGTTTCCCTTAGATAGCCTCCTTTCCCACTCGGCATGGAATTTGTCTGTTGATCTGCTCAGTTCTGGCTGCTGCAGGTAAGGCCCAGTCCATGCTTGCTCCCTTCCTGCCTGCTCATAAGCTTCCAGAGGGCAAGGTCGTACCTCCTGTGCATGGTAACCCCTATCCTCCTGACTCCTCCCCCACCTGCACTGTAGGATTCCCCCTGGGTAAGGTGGAAGGAGTACTGGGTACACTTGCTCAGTGTTCTGCCCTACAGTTGTGTGTCCTCCCCATTTCCAATGCCTTCTCTCATTCACACTTTGCTCCCTTGTTTCTACTCCTAAATCAAGATGGACTTCTCTCCTGGCCACTGATGCGCGTGGCGCTTGACAGCTCCCCAGCTTTGCCATCCTTCGGGGCTTGGGAAGAGCAGCAACTTCAGCAGTTCCTCCAGGTGCCTGCAGGGCAGCTCAGTTCCCAGCCAACCAAAGTGCTAAGGTACCCAACGCGGCTCTTCTCTTGTTTCCGCAGGTGCTACTGCTAAGCTTGGAGGGGGCAGTTTGTTGTGTGGGAGGCTGGTGATGGAATTAGACCCCCTTCGGCATTCTTCAAGGGGGCTGCCTCCCCACAGTTCCCTCTTCCACTGTTTCCAGCCAACAGGTGGTCACTCCACTAGAGGTGAATTCCTGGATATTTTTACCCAACACCCCATAAACAAAATGACAATGTTATTGGACATGTCATACAACCAGGCGTATGAGTAATGCTTCCATTAATCAATTTGCCAAAGAAAACAGGTTGCTATCTAAGCTTGTTTGGAGAGATGTTAGTTATGTGAAGGAAGAAAAACTCAGGCATCCGCTTAAAAGTACACTGTCAAGATTAAAATGATATATACTCGGTGACTTGTGTGTTTAAACTAACCTTTCCCTATGCAAGATTGCACCAGCAGTACAGTTGACAAGCAATTGTTACAAGAACCTCACCACAATGGCCTGGGTGGCGCCCGTTCCATTGGGATTGAGGTAGAGATAAGATGGAATCCAAGAGAGATGCAACTTTACTAGATTTGTTATTATACTATTAAGAAGTGTCAACTACAAAGAAGTCCTTCAGTTGTACTGTGATTAATTCATTTTTTTTTTTTTTTTGGTCTATCCATTCATTTATAAACATACTGGGCAGCTCCTTCTCACCAGGCATTATGCCATTTGCTAGATCCACAAAGATTAATGAGACAGGGTCTCTGCCCTCTAGAAGCTTACCACAGAGGCGGGATTCATTTGCATACTTCTCTAAGTATGTAAATGAATAACTGCATGGCAATGTGTTAAGTGTGGTAATAAAGGTATACCATAAAATATAGAGAGGATCTAGGGGAAGACTGCTGATGGGTTGATTTCTGAGCCAGATCTCAAAGGATGAGGACAAGTTGTTCAAGCAGGCAAGGAAAGAAACATTTGCAAAGGCATACTAGTGTGAAATAACAATAGGGGACTGCAAACAATTCAGTTTCCTTGTAACATAGGCAGTCTCAAGAGATGGGAAGAACAGTGTCAAGAGCTAGGGCCAAAGAAGTAGACGGGAGACAGAGGATGAAGCATGTTGAACGTTAAGCTTAGGAATGTGACTTAATTTGAGGGCACATGGGAGCCCCTGAGACTTTAAGTAGGAGAGTAATAATTAAATCTGGGGGAACTTGGCTCTTTCACATGCAGCGGGGACCTCCTCAATACCTTTTATGTTATTTTAAAACATTTTATTATACCATATCATGCCACACTTGTAGTCTATGCTATATGATGGCATGGTCTATGGCATATAGAATTTAATATTACAGCATAAGGGCTCGGCCTGTATTAAGCTCTTACTGAATATCTGATGACTGAATGAAGACTCAGACATCATAAGTCTCTCACCCTTGGTCAGATGTTGCTGGTATTGGCAGAACCCCAGGCCAAACCTCCCCACTTGAAGGGCTTTTTCTATCATGCACAAGCAACAAGTTGGGATGTCTCCATAGGTATAACACTATAGCTACATGACAATGCCTAATATATGTTCCAGAGATTATTTTAATCCCTCCATCACCCAGAACTTTAATTCAGCTTATTGTAATATCTCTGGGAAAGGACAGGAAGTTTTAACATGTTACGAAGTCGCAGAATTCACTCCAGAGAAACCTTCTATTTCCAACTTTGCTGAACTATGTCCATCTTGCAAGGCGAGTGATACCTATAATGGATATGTAGAAGACAGACTAAAAATTCTCAGTGCCCTTCATTTCCCCCATGCTGCGCCTGTAACAAGTATTAAGAAGAAGTGATGGATGGGCAGATAGAGGAGATGATAGATAAGAGAGACTGAATTTAGAATCTTCCATTTACCCAAAAGAGTTGAAAATATATTAAGAAAGGTGACAAAATTAAAGAAAACCCAATATTCTCCACAGGAATTTTCCTTAACCAGATGGAATTTCTATTTTTCATTTGTAAAAGTAAAAAAAAAGATAGCTTTTTATTTCAAAAGGAGTATGTCCCCCTGATAAAACCTTCAAGCAGTAAAGAAGGTTATAAGGTCAAAGGAGAAAACCTCTACCCCATCTCTCTTACTCTCCAGAGTCAACCACTGTACATCCTCCACAAAGTCTCCATGTACTACAAAAAGTATATCTGTCTCCCTTTCATTTTTATGCAAGTGGAATTACATAAAACATGCTGTTGTGCATACTTCAATGAACAACATGCGTTGGATGTGATTCCATATCACTGTTTATGAGACACAGTCCTCTTACTTCAGCGATGTTTTCTTTCCCTTCAGAATTTATTTCTTGTTCCAGTTTCTATTTTTACTAGTTAGGCCATGCAGAAATACACAACACTGACTATAGGTCTTTCTGTTGTCATGTGAATTTATCTGTAGGGCAGATTTCTAGAGGAAGGGCCTCTAGGTCAAGTATATGTGCACTTGAATTTTGGCAGAAATTGCCAAGTTTTCTTCCAAAAGGGCAACGAAATATATTCTTCTACCAGTAGTGCATGTCTCCCCACTTGCCAGACATGTTTTGTTACCCAACTTCTAAACCTTTGCTAACTTGATATGTTAAAGCATGGTATCCTAGCGCTATTTTAATTTGCGTGTTTTGAATTGGCAGTGAAGTTGGGTATTGTGTGTGTGTGCTTTTGTAGTTCTTTTTCTGAGGACTACAGGTTCATGTTTTTTGCTTCTTCTTTTATGGGTGGTTGCTCTTTTCTTACAGATTTCTAAAAGCTCTCTCTATATTAAAGGAATTGGTACTGATTATCATATGTGTTAACCATTTTTTTTGCCCAGATTGTTGTTTGTCTTTGACTTTGTTGATTGTGATGTTTTATTTGGAAGATTTATTGGTTTTTTTTTAAAGATTTTATTTATGTATTTGATAGAGGGAGACAGACACAGTGAGAGAGGGAACACAAGCAGGGGGAGCGGGAGAAGGAGAAGCAGGCTTCCCGCTGAGCAGGGAGCCCGATGCAGGGCTCAATTCCAGGACCCTGGGATCATGACCTGAGCCGAAGGCAGCCACCCAATGACTGAGCCACCTAGGTGCCCAGGAAGATTCCATTTTTAAGTAGTCATATTTATTGATCTTTTCTTTATGGCTTCTGGATTTTATGTCATACTTAGAGAAAACTTTCTCCATGACAAGATTATTACAAAAATTCATTGTTTTTTTCAAGTACTTTTATGGTTTCATTTTTATATTTAAGGCTTTAGTCCACCTGAGATTTATTTTGGATGTTCAGAGAAAAATACAGCTCTATTTTTATTTTTTCTAAAAAACTAACCACTTAGGGTGCCACGGTAGCTCAGTTGGTTAAGCATCTACTTTTGACTCTGGTCATGATCCCGGGGTCCTGGGATTGAGCCCCACATCAGGCTCCCTGCTCTGTGGGGAGACTGCTTCTCCCTCTCCTGCTCCCCCTGCTTGTGCTCTCTCTGTCTCTCAATTAAATAAAAAATAAAATCTTTTAAATAAATAAATAAATAACCACTTATCCCAACACCATCTATGGAATATTTTTCCTATTGATTTGGAATGTTCCTTTTATCATAAAACTTATTTTGTTTGCGCTTGGGTCCATTTCCAGACCATCTACCTCTTTCCATTGATCTGCCTATTTGAGCAGTATATCAATGGTTTTAGTAGTAGCTTTAGAATACATTTTAAAAACCTAATGGCTTTAACGCAGTGCAAATACTCTGTATGATATTATAATGATTGATATATGTCATTAAACAGTTGTCAAAACTCATAGACTGTACAATACCAAGAGTGAACCCTGAGGTAAAATATGGCAGTTAGGTGATTATGATGTGTCAAGTATGTTCATCCTTGGTGAAAAATGAACTGTTCTGGTGAGTGATGATAATGGGAGAAGCAATGAATGTGTGAGGGGTGGGGATATATGAGAAATCTCTGTACCTTCCTCTCAATTTTGTTGTAAATCTAAAACTGCTCTGGAAAAAGAAAGTCTTTTAAAAAAGTTAAGTTAAATTAAAATTTAAAAATTCTAACAGAACGAATTTCCTTTCAACACTCTATTTTCATGTTTATATTTCCAGATGATCTACACTCAAGTGCCAATAAGAAATGTAACTGTAGGGGCGCCTGGGTGGCTCAGTCAGTTAAGCGTCTGCCTTCGGCTCAGGTCATGATCCCAGGGTCCTGGGATCAAGCCCCACATTGGGCCCTGCCCAGCGGAGAGTCTGCTTCTCCCTCTCCTCCTTCTGCTCCTCCTGCTTGTGCTCTCTCTCTCTCTCTGTCAAATGGATAAATAAAATCTTAAAAAAAAAGAAAAAGAAAGAAAGAAATGTAACTGTATGCTCTGTACTGAGTAACAATGGCTGGTAAGATAATCTAATGATTCTTAATAGCCCGTATGATTTTTATTGTTGTTTTCATTTCTAATATTGCAGTGTAAACAACATTGATTCATATCAATTTTTCTGATTTGATCATATATATTATATTTTTTCTTGTATAAATAAACTTTTGGCTGAAACTACTTGATGATGTCCCGGTGTTTACTCAGCCACCATACTGAACCCTCTAAAATGCATGACATCAGGCAGTACCTATTGCAAATTGGAAACACTAGGTCTGTGCTAGAATGTGGATAAAGAAAGCTCATGTTCATCATGCTTCTAACCCCACAATCCCAGTAATTGTAGGGTCCCAGAATCAGCTGTTATTCACTATCTTCTCCTCCATACCAGGATATCTCCCTTCTAAGTATTTAGAGATGCAACTTTTCAGTCTTGGAAGAAGAGAGATTTACCAGAAAGCACTAAGGTAACATATGAAAACTTAGCAACTGCAGTCACTATGGTCGAATTCTATCCCTTATGTGGTTTACCGTAGGCTACATCCTCACTCTTGAAGGCCACAGACATTTTTTTTTCTTTATTTTTTATTGTTATGTTAATCACCATACATTACATCATTAGTTCTTGATGTAGTGTTCCATGATTCATTGTTTGCGCATAACACCAAGTGCTCCATGCAGAACGTGCCCTCTTTAATACCCATCACCAGGCTAACCCATCCCTGCACCCCCCTCCTCTAGAACCCTCAGTTTGTTTTTCAGAGTCCATTGTCTCTCATGGTTCGTCTCCCCCTCTGACTTACTCCCCTTCATTCTTCCCCTCCTGCTATCTTCTTCTTTTTTTTTTTCCTTAACATATATTGCATTATTTGTTTCAGAGGTACAGATCTGTGATTCAACAGTCTTGCACAATTCACAGTGCTCACCATAGCACATACCGTCCCCAATGTCTATCACCCAGCCACCCCATCCCTCCCACCCCCACACTCCAGCAACCCTCAGTTTGTTTCTGAGATTAAGAATTCCTCATATCAGTGAGGTCATATGATACATGTCTTTCTCTGATTGACTTATTTCACTCAGCATAACACCCTCCAGTTCCATCCACATCGTTGCAAATGGCAAGATCTCATTCCTTTTGATGGCTGCATAATATTCCATTGTGTATATATACCACATCTTCCTTATCCATTCATCTGTCGATGGACATCTTGGCTCTTTCCACAGTTTGGCTGTTGTGGACATTGCTGCTATAAACATCGGGGTGCAGGTACCCCTTCGGATCCCTACATTTGTATCTTTGTGGTAAATACCCAGTAGTGCAATTGCTGGATCGTATGGTAGCTCTATTTTCAACTGTTTGAGGAACCTCCATACTGTTTTCCAGAGTGGTTGCACCAGCTTGCATTTCCACCAACAGTGTAGGAGGGTTCCCCTTTCTCCGCATCCCCGCCAACATCTGTCGTTTCCTGACTTGTTAATTTTACCATTCTGACTGGTGTGAGGTGGTATCTCATTGAGGTTTTGATTTGGATTTCCCTGATGCTGAGCGATGTTGAGCACTTTTTCATGTGTCTGTTGGGAAGGCCACAGACATTCTGAAGGTCTCTTGAAACACCTGTGAATTACAGATAGGGGGTTCAGAAATACAAAGCCAGAAAGTTCAGAAATTACAACCAGAAGGAAATGACAAATGGCATGTTGGCAAGCGTTGTCTTTCTTCCTCATCATTTCCACCACCCCTCTACCCGCCCCCCCTCAACAAGATCTGGAAATTCAAAGCTGGGGATCACCTCTACAGGACCTGCCAAGAGAATTTCCCAGTTAGGCTTCCAAATTCTGAAAGCCATTCATCTTGAAGCTTCAGGTGGGTCCTATTTTAACCACCATCCACACAAGAGCTAGGGAAGCAGGACCAGATAGACTGCCTCATGAAACAAAATAAGAAGTGGCTTTGACTGGTTTATGTGACCATGAGGGCAGGCCAAAGCCAATTGCCTTGTGAAGCCATGAGCTCTCCCTCTGATGACTTTCTCTGCCTGGATGCCTTAGATAGAATTCCTGATTTGGGCTAGAATTTGGACCAAATGATCTTTGAGTTGGGGTGTGTATGAGCCATGGAAAGCTCCCCCAAGGAGATGGCAGCTGAGCCAAATCTAGAATGGGATTCAAATAGGCATAAAAGGGAGAGGAGGAGAAGAGGGAATAGCATCCCAGATGGAAGAGTATAAGCAAAGGCATGGATATGTGATACAGAATAGCAGGAGCTACAAAAAATTCAGTAGTTTGGGGCACCTGTGTGGCTCCCCCTGCTCGTGCTCTCTCTCTCTCTCTCTCATAAATAAATAAAATCTTTCTTTTTAAAGATTTATTTGACAGAGAGATTCAGTGAGAGAAGGAACACAAGCAGGGGAAGTGGGAGAGGGAGAAGCTGACTCCCCGCGGAGCAGGGAGCCTGATGTGGGGCTCGATCCCAGGACCCTGGGATCATGACCTGAGCCGAAGGCAGACGCCCAGCGACAGAGCCACCCAGGCGCCCCAATAAATAAAATTTTAAAAAACAATTCAGTACTCTATTTTTGGAGCACTGAATTCCAGGTAAGGAATGGTCAGAATGATGTTGGAGAAGTAAGGACTGGCCAGGTCCTGGGGGTTCTGGTACGCCATCATCAAAAACTTGGGTTTTATCTTAAAAATGTTTGAAGAGTTTTTAAACAGATGAATGATAAAGGTAACTGGAATAGCCCTATATATAAATATCACAATGATGACCTTAACCAAAAAATATGACAATTTTGAAATTAGCCTAATTAATGAAAGCTGGTGGGATTCTTGTCATTTATATGTTAGAGGATCATCATACCTTTTCTAAGATTAACAAAAAGACGTTTCTACCTAGCTTCTTGAACTAGGTTTTGACATGGCTGCACTTATATAATGGATCATCCTGGTAGCCTTGCAGAAAAATGTTTTAAGGGTATTGAGATTGGAGGTAGGGAAATAATTTAAAGCATTACTGGAATTGTCTAGGTAAGCATGACAGAACCCTGAACTAAGGAAGTAGGTAGAGACATCTGTTGAAGACAAAATCAGCAGATTTGCTTGAAGAGATAGTGTCACATAATAAGGTAACAATGAGAATGTACCCTCAGGGGCGCCTGGCGGGCTCAGGTGGTTAAGCATCCGACTCTTGATTTCGGTTCAGGTCATGATCTCAGGGGCATGAGATTGAGTCCCGCTTTGAGCTCTGTGCTCATTGGGGGGTCAGCTTGAGATTCTCTCCCCCCGCCCGTCCCCCCTCTAAAACAACAAAAAATAAATAAATCTTTTAAAAAAATGCACCTCTCAAAAAGAATCACAATTGACTGAGAAGCCCAGCTTCTGTGCTCTGAAGTCCATCCCTTCTTCTTGCCGAGGTCATGCTTCCAGGCAGGCTGCTTTATTACTGAGTATGGGAGGGATACTAAGGCAGGCCCATTCCTGGGAAATGTGGGACTTTTCTGTAAGACATTTTAGCTCCAGATGTTCCATCAGTTTTGCTGAATTTTCTTAGAAATGAACCGCAGTCTAAGATTCTTCCACCTAACCAACCTTCCAACCTTCCTTCTCTTACCCCTTCCTTCCTCCCTCACCACTCCCTGCCTGCCTGCCTTCCTTCCCTCCTTCCTTCCTTCTTTCCTTCCTTCCTTCCTTCCTTCCTTCTTCCATGATTCATAGGCTCAAACCTACATTATAGTTTGATGACTCTCCCAGAGAACCTGGACTAAACTTATAGTGGGTAACCTTTGGGGCTCTGGAGTCACAATAACCTGTGTATGAATCTGGCCCTACCATTGCTAAATAGGTGAGTTCAAGTGAGTGGTCTGTTAAATCATGGTAACTGTGGGGCGTCTGGGTGGCTCAGTCAGTTAAGTGTCTGCCTTTGGCTCAGGTCATGGTCCCAGGGTCCTGGGATTGAGCCCCACATCGGGCTCTCTGCTCAGTGGGGAGCCTGCCTCTCCCTCTGCCTGTGCCTGCCACCCGCCCTGCTTGTGCTCTCTCTCTGTCAAATAAATAAATAAAATCTTAAAAAAAAAAATCATGATAACTGTTGTGAAGATTAAATTAGTCAGGCTTGCAAAGTACTTAGCACAGTATCTGGCACATAGCAAGAGCTTGATAAATCTTAGCCATTCTTTTTTTTTTTTTTAAGATTTTATTTATTTATTTGACAGAGGGAGAGAGACACAGAGAGGGAACACAAGCAGGGGGAGCGGGAGAGGGAGAAGCAGGCTCCCCACTGAGCAGGGAGCCCGACGCAGGGCTCAATCCTAGGACCCTGGGATCATGACCCGAGCCGAAGGCAGATGCTTAACGACTGAGCCGCCCAGGTGCCCCCTTAGCCATTCTTATTAAAGATGGGGGTTGAAGGAGAGGAAGAAGTAAGGGCTAATTCTTAGGTTTCTGGCTGTTTACAATATATAAAGTGATCACAATATTTCACTCAAGTTAATTCTCCTTTTGCATACAACAGACAATCCTTTTGAGGACAGAAGAGATTAGGTAATTCTTCCTTTCCTCCCTACTCCTAAATTTCTTGCCTCCTCCAGCTTTCATGGCTAATGGAAGATAAATCATTAAATGATACATCAAAATGGACATAAAAAAGACTCCTTCACTCTGGAGTTGAGAGGGTGGCCTTTCATCGCATTCCCCTGGGCACACCAGTTCCCAGTAAGATACAAGCTGTGAGAATATTCTTCTGCTCTGTGGAGGAAAGGCCCATTCTAGAGCTCCTTCATGTAACAAGGAAGAAAAATTGTCCGCTTTCCTCGAGGATCTAAA